CCCCCCGCGCGCCATGTCCCGGTCTGGCCGTGCGGTCACCTGTGAGGAATGCGAGGGGAGGGTGCCAATGACTCACAGTACTTGAGCCGGCAGACCCTGACCTCAGCCCCCAGAATAGCCGCTCCCTGCCCCCAGCCTGACCGCGGCCCCCTCCCCAGGCGCCACCCCCTGCTCTCGCGGCCGCTCCTGGAGCACGGACCTCGACAAGTGCATGGACTGCGCGTCGTGCCGGGCGCGACCGCACAGCGACTTCTGCCGGGGCTGTGAGTGGGCGCCGGGCCAGTGGGGAGTAGATGCCAGGCACCGCGAGAAGGTTCCCGAGGCAGAGACGAGGACAGAGGGCTTGGGATGTGGGAAGTTAGTTGGGGGAGGCGGGAGTGAGCACCGGTCTCTGATCAGAGTGGAAAACATAGTGGGGGACTCTCTAGGGGCGGGGCTGGCCCGGAGAGAAGCCAGGTCTAACTGCGAGCCCCACTCCCAGGCGCTGCGGCACCTCCTGCCCACTTCCAGCTGCTTTGGCCCATCCTGGGGGGCGCCCTGAGCCTGGCCCTCGTGCTGGGGCTGCTTTCTGGCTTCCTGGTGTGGAGACGGTGTCGTCGGAGAGAGAAGTTTACTAGTAAGAACGACTGCCACCCCGCTCGCACCTCCCCCAGACCTGGCAGTCTTTGCCAAATCTTGCTCCTGACCCCCACCTCTTATCTTGCAGCCCCCATAGAGGAGACAGGCGGAGAGGGCTGCCCGGGCCTGGCGCTGATCCAGTGAAGTCCAGCGCCCCTTCTCAGCCGGGTTGCGTTACTTGGCCGGCCTTCATTCATTCATTCTGGAGCCAGCCCCAGCGGCCTCGGGGACACGCCTGAGCCAGCCTCCTGCAGCCACAAGGGGCAGCGGCAGGCGGCCGGATGGATGAATCACCCCTGAGGCCTGGGCCAGGGTTCAGGGGAGTCTTCCAAGGTGTCTGCTCCTGGACAGATAAGGAGCCCCATGCTGGCTTGACACTGACAAGCAACTGCAGCATTTGCACAAGGGGGTCTACCTCTTCCCCTGACCCCTAGACTCTACCCACTCAGCTGTACAGAAATTTGACAGCAGAGGTCTTAGCCTGGGGGCTTAGGGACCTGTTCTTAACACTAGGGGGCTGGCCCTCTAAGAGGGCTGGCCCTTACAGACTCGGCCCTTACAGACTCCCCCAACCCCCAAAGTGGGGAGGAGATATTTATTTTGGGGAGAAAGCTGGGGGGGGGAGAATTTATTAATAAAAAAAATCTTTACCTTTAAATGGTGTGGAGAGTGGCATGAGCCCATTTGACTCCCCAGAGCTGCAGGGAGGGAGTGAGTCAGCCAGTCGCGGGGGCGGGGGTGAGGCTCTGACTCACACATTCTCAATGCCTGGATCCCAGCCTGCCAGGACCTGGCTGGCCCTGAGCATTTTCCAGGGAAGTTCTTGAGGAGAAACCCCAGCATCTAGCACCCCAGCCCTCGTCCAAGGCCTCATGTTCCAAACTGAAGGTTCCTTTTCTCAGCCATCTTTATTCCAGGCTCCTGCCTCTCCCACCCCAGGGCTCCACTAGCTCAGTGTCCCCTGCTGGGGAAGGTCCTGCTGTCCAGATGCTGGGTCTGGAGGAGGATGAGCAAGCACCGTGTCTCCGTGGGGCTGCTGGTCTCCTCTGTTGGGGAAGGAGGAAGGGGGCACTGCCCAGCACTCAGAGCTCCGGTACGTCCCCAGCTGAGGTTGCAGCATAGTAGGGGCTGGGAGTGTCCCCCAGCCTCAAGAGTCGGAGAGCCTCAGGGATTAGGCTCCCAGGGTAGCGCCAGAGAAGCAGCTCAGAGCAAGGGCTCCTGGAAGAGGGAAGGACAGTGAGGTCATGAGGCTACAGCTGGCCATCAGAGTGCCTCCCTGGGGCTGGGTCCCAGGGAAGAGAACTACACAGAAGTGGCCTGGGAGCTGACTGTGAGGACTAGGGTGATCCTCCAGGAGGTTGGGCCAGTGGAGGTACCTACCTGAGTGGGGGCACAACCATGGGGGGGCTGCAGTACGGGTGGTCATTGTGCAGGCTGAGTCGAGAGAAGTGGGTGGCCATGTTGTCCTCGGATAAGAACTGTTTGTGCAGGGGCTCCCTAGAAGAGACAGGGAGGAAGGCAGGTTGGGACACAGAGGCAAGGTAGCCTGAAGAGGACCAGAGGTGACAGACCTTGTTGGGACCTCCCCATGCTCCCAAACTCACTGCTTCTCCTCCAGGCGCCGCTTGGTGCTCATGGGCACAGCTCCTCAGAGAGGAGAGCTGGGGAAAAAAGAGAGCCTGGTGCACCCCACCCTTTCGACCCCTTCCGGAGGATATGCCCACCTGAGCCAGCAGCGACAGCCAGGAGCCTCCAGCCCACCCCTGGTCCGGCCGATGTCTAAGCCACTTCTCTCACCTGGGCCATCCGTTAGCCTAGCTCATTAGTCTGGATCCTGAGCGCCCGCCCCAGCAAAGTTTTAGCTCAAGCCCAAACCCCGCCCATTCGTCCCACCCTGTATCGTACAGACCAGCGCTGCGCCCCCGGCCGCAGCTCCTGCGCCTCTGTCAGGCCTCCTCCGAGCCTCAACACGCACCTGGCGTCCAGGTCCCGAGTCGCCCCCGTGGCGGCCCGCAGGTCGCGCTGGACTAGAATCGGGGGTCCTCGCTCCAGGCGTTGTTGCAGGATCATTGGTGTTGAAGGTCCTACTCGAGAGGGGTGGGATCCGGGCGGCAGGGGCGGAGACTCCGAAGGCGTGGCCCACGTGATGGGGGTGTGGGTCAGCGCGCGCAGCGCCGAGATCTGCGCAGGCGCGGAAGACGGGCCGCGCGCGTGGCTGGAAGGCGGGTTTGCTCCGCGGGGTGGGGGAGGGGGAGAGGGGATCCGGCGGAGCGGAGCTGCTATAAGCGCCACTTCTTCGAGTCGGCGGGCTTCGTGTCGCTCATCCCGGTTCTTGGAGCTCAGGCCCGCCTTCGCGCTGGCCGGCGGTGTCGAAGCGGCGAGGCGCCGTGGACAGGAGCCGCTCACCGCACGTCCGGACTCGTGGGGGATGCGTTGAGCGCGGAGCACTCTGGGACTTGTAGTTTGGGCCATGGAGCGAGCTGTGCCGTTCTCGGTGCCTCTGGGTCAGGTAAGGGGGACGTGGTGCGCGGTGCCTTCTGGGTTTGTAGTCCATGCTCAGCCCGGGCGGAGCGGGCAAGGAATTGTGCCCTGAGACTTTCTGTGCGGGCTGTTTATGGGACGCGGACTCTGACACTGCCGAGAGAGTACTCTAGAAGGGCCGCAGGGGCCCGACCTAAGTGTCAAAGAATTGGGGCCTGCTCCGTGGCCTGGCGGTCAGGGCAGCCCGAGTCCTCATGGCAGACGCCGCCATTCAAGTCCCAGACCTGGCAGCTTGAAAGACACGCTGGGCATGTGCGCATGGGTGCCCAAAATCCAAACGGAATGGAGAGAAGTGGGCACGACCGTGCGCCATAGCCGGATGCTGACTCTCTCCCTCTCTGTCTCTGACAAGCAGACACCCTGTGACAAAAGTTTTCTTTAACAAGTCTGGGTAGGTGGGGCCAGCAGGTGGCTAGTGGTTAAGGCGCTGGGTTCCCACATGGCTGACCACGGCTGGAGTCCCTGTGAACCG